ATATGCATATATATTTGTATAAATGCATGTATATATGTGTATATTTTTATTTGATATATATAGAAATATATATATATAGAAGTATTTATGTTTATATTTGTATTTGTATGTGGATATGAATATATATATATATATATATATATATGTGTGATTTTTTTTTTATTTTGTATGTATGTATGTATATGCATATGTATATATACATATATTTGTGTTTGTATGTATATGTATATATATATTTGTATAGATGTTTGTATATATATGTGTATGTTTTTTATTTTGTATATATATTTATATTTTTATTTGTATATAGATATGAATATATATGTATATTTTTTTTGCTGTTTATTTATTTTATTTTAAATTTTTAAAAAAAATCGATTTTTTTTCATATTTTTTCGGAATTTTTTTTTTTAAAATATGACGTGGCATGCTGATGTGGCAAAAAATCTATATGGCGTGCCACGTCATCCGCCACGTGGCGTGCCACGTCAACGGTTAACGGACACTTAACACCGTTTTCGGATTGTGTAGGAAATTGCAGTTAAATTGGGTAGTTCGTGTATCAATTTGGCATATTTGATAATTTGGTGTAGTTTTTTGTCAAATTAAAAATTCGTGTAAAAAAAGGTCACATTTTGCAAAGTTGGTGTAGGAAAATGTCATTTTCCCTAATAATTATTATTTTACAACCAAACTTATAAATCTCTCCAACTAGATTGATAATTATAAATTTCAACCAAAACATTCAAGTTATGAAATTAGGCAATTTCAAAATTTTGTCTCCAATATTTATCTTATGCATTTACTTGTCTATAATTCAAAAGGGTATAATGTTTAAACATATAATTTTAAACACTATATGACCATTTGTTTATAAAAGATATAGAGGGCAAAATTCAAACCATAGGACTGTAATAAAAATATATAATGCCAAAATCTTGAAATAGGAAATAAATTTTAGAAATTAATAATACTTAGCCACATTAATTAAGCTTAGAATCTTTTAATCAAGCCAATTATGTAGTGTTCATACCCTAAACGGCATCGTTTCGAACGCGTAACCGTTTCGTCTCTTTTTTCTTTTCCCTATTTTTTTCACAACGGTCGGAAGTGGCGGAATTGGCGTCCTCCTTGTCCTGTCCCTACTGCAACTCGTAGAATGTTTGATCCTGTTCTTGCTTGCCCAAACGTCGATACCCTAAACGCTTTAACATGGTTTTGAGATTACCGACGAATTCATCTCCCCATTTGATCTTCAAGTATATCGATAGGAGTTTGAATCTGGGCGATGTAAAATCTGCACGCAATCTATTCGATAAAATTCCCCAACCAGACATTCGTGCTTGGACCCTCTTGATTTCGGCTCACACCAAGCACGGGTTTACAGCGGAAGCTTTCGATCTTTACAGAAAATTTCGGGCGCTTGATATTGACCATGATAAGTTGTTGCTCTTGTCAGTCGCAAAGGCTTGTGCTTTGTTAAGGAATCTCTCGAAAGCCAATGAGGTTCACGGAGATGCGGTTCGTTTTGGTTATGTTTCAGATACCTGTTTGGCTAATTCGTTGGTTGATATGTTTTCTAAGTGTGGGTGTGTTGAGAAAGCAAGATTGGTTTTTGATGGGATAAGGTGTAAAGATGTCGTTTCTTGGACATCTATGGCTTCTTGTTATGTTGGTCATGGATTGCCCAGACAGGGCCTTGTCACATTCCGTGAAATGGTGTTTTGTGGGATAACTCCGAATTCCATGTCATTGTCTTCGACTTTACCAGCTTGTGCAGAGCTGAGGGATAAGAATTCAGGAAGACAGATTCACGGGTTTATTGTAAGGAATGGACTGGAGGGAAACATGTTTGTGACAAGTGCACTTGTTAATATGTATTCTAGTTGCTCGTGTCTTAAGCAAGCTCAATTAGTATTTGACAGCATGTCTCGACGGGATACTGTTTTGTGGAATGTTCTTATGGACGCATTCTTCAGGAACAAAGATTGTGAGAAGGGTCTCGCTCTGTTTTACAGAATGAGAAACCAAGGTGCTGAGTTGTGCATTTCTTCGTGGAATACCGTCATTGTTGGGTGTACACAAAATGGAAAGGATGAACTTGCTCTGCATATGACGATTGAAACGCAGGATTCTGGGTTTAAACCAAATCACATCACAGTCACTAGCATATTACCAGCCTGTACGAATCTAGAGTATCTTAGGGGTGGCAAGGAGATTCATGGGTATGCATATAGAAATGGGGTCACAAGAGATGTATCTGGAATGACAGCTCTCGTTCTTATGTATGCAAAATGCGGTGATCTAGAAAATTCAAGACGAGTATTTGATACCATAGGAAGAAAAGACATCATGACATGGAACACCATGATCGCTGCAAACTCAATGCATGGAAATGGAAAAGAGGTTTTGGCAATTTTCCACAGAATGTTGGAATTAGGAGTCAAGCCCAATGCTATAACTTTTGCAGTGGTTTTGTCTGGTTGCAGCCACTCACGGTTAGTTGATGAAGCACGCTCAATCTTCAACTCAATGGAAAAAGATCATTTTGTTGAACCCATGACAGAGCATTACTCATGCATGGTTGATGTCCTTAGCCGAGCTGGTTGTCTGGAGGAAGCATATAGGTTCATACGTGAAATCCCTATAGAACCTAGTGCCAGTGCCTGGGGAGCACTGCTTGCCGCTTGTAGAGTTTACAAACACGTCGAGTTGGGAAGAATAGCTGCAAATAAATTGTTTGAGATCGAGCCCCATAACCCGGGCAACTACGTGCAGTTCTATAACCTCCTTGTGAATGCTAAACTATGGGATGAAGCATCTGAAATTAGAAAAAGGATGAGAGACCACAGAGTCATGAAAACTCCTGGGCGTAGCTGGGTACAAGTGAGGGACAGGGTCTATACATTTGTTGCTGGAGACACGAGAAACAAGGAAAGCAATAAGATTCACTCGTTCTTGGCAGAGATTGGTGAGAAGATGAGATTGGCTGGGTATAAACCAAACACTGAGTTTGTTCTACAAGATGTGAACCAGGAAGAGAAAGAGGAGAGTCTTTGCAGCCACAGTGAGAAGCTAGCTGTTGCTTTCGGGATAATGGGACTGAAAGGGGAAAGAACAATCCGGGTTTTCAAGAATTTGAGGATATGTGTGGATTGCCACAATGCAATTAAGTTCATGGCAAAGATTGTCGGTGTAGAAATCATAGTTAGAGATTCTCTTAGGTTCCATCACTTCAGAGATGGCTCCTGTTCATGCAATGATTTCTGGTGATTCGGGCATAAGCTTTACCATTACGGGTTAAATACTCGTAACCCTTCGTGGGACGGTGTCAACCTCGGAGGTATAGAGAGAGAAAGAGAAGAAGCGCCACCAATGAACCAAAAAAGAAAAAAAAAAATCCAAGCTTTGTTTAAAAATTCTGCCGAAGCCGAGGTGGGTTTTCGTCAGTAGAGATGTTATCGTTTAGGTTCACTCGTTGCGGCTCGATTCCGTTCAAGAAAACCCTAATGGCTTTGGATTTCCGAGTAGCGATAGACCAAAAACCTGGTTTTAGCTCGAGTCATGGTGGTTCTTCTGGAAATTTATCCAGAATCCGCTGTTCCTGTGCCGCTTTCAGTTCGTCTTCTTCTCGTTCCCAAAGTTTTCCTCTTTCAGGTGAAATATTTGGTCTTTGAACTCCGCAAGTGATTTTGATGACACTTGAGTAACTCCGACACTTGGAATTTTGCTTTTTACGGACGAACATCGGTTAACTGGCTGCTGCAGTAGTTGCTAGGTTTTGAAGGTACCATGTCAGTAGCAGAGTCGGAATTGGTAGATACTAGAGAAAAAGATCAGTTTTTTTTTTCCGAATGAAGAAATATCTTAAGAGCTTAAAAAGTTTCAAAATCGGAGCTTTTGCTCGGTGATACTAAGGATTCATGCTTTTTGATTCTTAAGATTCCAGTTCTGATCCGAAAGGGCAATTGGGTTGTCTCCATCTTGGTTTCTTGTGTTCATGTGTGATTGAAGGATTCTTTTCATTTCAGGACTAGAGGATGTTTTGATTGGCTATCTATTTGGGAAGAAGAAGGCAACGGAAGTGGCTCACATGTGGGTACTATAAACTCAAGGATTGAATACGTTTTGATTGTGTTATTAATGGAACTGGGAAAGCTTTTTGGGTTGAATCTTCACATTCTTTCAAGAAGCATGCTGCTTATGCTTCAGAACCTGGTGGTTGTAGACTAACAAGGCTACTGAAATCTATAAGTTTCAAGCTTCTCTCTTTGCGGCCACTTTTCAATGACTTAAATCGTAATATAGCAATTGAATTTGGCCATTTATGTTACAGAATCTTTGGCTCTGGGATGTTATTTATGTTCAATTTACACGAGTTTTTTTAGTAAACACCCAAGAGTTTGTTTCACGTCATTTTCTTAAACCAGGGTGTGGGAACAGGTTGTCCAAAAGGGAGACACGGTTGTGGATGCAACATGTGGAAATGGTTATGATACCTTGGCAATGCTGAAAATGGTGATGGATGAATCAGGCGGTGGTCATGTCTATGCGATGGACATTCAAGACAATGCCTTAGAGAGTACTTCCTCTTTACTCGATCAGAATGTTGGCCCAAAAGAAGTGAGAAACCGAACTTTGCCTTTGCAGAATGCAATGTCTTGCACCATAAAACCAACATTTCAATTCATATATCATTAACGGACTCCCATTTAAATTTGACATTGTTGCAGAAGGAACATATCAAATTCTTCAACATCTGCCACAGCAAGATGGATGAGATCATCCCCGAAAATTCCCATGTGAGGTACCTTTTCGGACAAAACCTGCGGCTGCGATATGTTTTCCAGCTTATCCAATGATCTGAGACAATACTGTGATGATACCAGCCTTAACTCTACTCTGCCTTTGACCTCACTGAAAGTTCTTATCTTTGTCATGACCATAGACTTGTAGCATTCAATCTGGGGTACCTTCCGGGAGGCAACAAGTCTATAATCACCGTTTCAGACACCACATTATCGGCACTAAAGGCTGCAGAACGAATCTTATTACCGGGTGGGCTCATCAGCTTAGTGGTTTACATTGGTCATCCCGGAGGAAGGTAGAAACCAATGGAGAGATCTTGAATCAGAAAGAAATCTAAAACTTTTTTTTACATTCCTGTGCTTCTTTGCTTTGGTTGGTTCATACAGGGAAGAGCTGGAAGCAGTTGAAGCATTTGCCTCGGGTTTACAGGTCAGGGACTGGGTCTGCTGCAAGTTCCAGATGTTAAACCGGCCATTGGCTCCGGTTCTTGTTTTCATATTCAAGAGAGAAATGTAGTTTCCATGGCAGTTTCCCCATACCTTTTCTTTGTTAGTCTCTTCTCCACAAGAGCTGTCTTAGGTTTGATATGTACTTGAATGTGAAACATTCTTTTGTCCCTTCAATCAGAGAAGACCATTTTGTAAAGTTATCTTCAGGGGATACATTTATTGTCATTTCCAAGTTTATCTATTCATCATTTACAGATTTTGGCAGAAAAAGAGATGTCCCAAAAAAGTGGAAAGTAAGGCAAAAAATACGACCACGATGGGACTCGAACCCACAATTTCCCGCTCCGGAGGCGAGCGCCTTATCCATTAGGCCACGCGGTCAACTTGCGTTACTAATAATACGTAAATATATGAAGGACTAAATAACACATGTCAACTCCCTCGACTTCCAAAGTTTATTCATAACTGTGGGATGGTGACCAACAAAGACAACAGACAAATGTTGCTGGTTAAGGCATTGTTCAAACACAGATGGAACCAAAACCCAAAATGTCTTAGATACACAGAATCTGGATTGAACCAAGCAAACTTCATTGTCTCCTCAACAAGTTTCATATTACATGTATCAGAAAGCCTGGCATCCTGTTGCTTTTCATGGATTTGATGAAGCATCCACCACGGGAAACTCGGGTTGTGATGCCCATTCTGTCCAGGACCCGTCATAGATTGGCACGTTGGTTTTTCCCAGACGGTGAAGCCCCTAAGACAAAGAAAAAGGTTCTTAGTGAGTGAAGGACGTTTGCTCAAAGGTCTGAAGATATAAAAGTTGGGTTACGAGAGAGGAGTTTACCAGTGCCAGAATGCATGCTGTTACACCAGTTCCATATGATGCTACTATAGGACGGTCCAATGAGACACCTGCAGGAAATGACAGTGGCAAGGTTTGTAAGGAGCCATGCAATAAACCATCTCAGCATAGTGGTCACTCATTATCAATGTATTATCTTAAAGGAAGAAAGAGGTGTGTGTGTGTATTTCAATTGCAGTTGTTATCAAGAATCTTGTCATCTATGGTAGGAAATGTCGAAATCCCTCAGTGGCTTATAGGCATGGGGCATGGTTTCAGACATGAACTGGAGTTTCAGTCATGAGATGTCTAATAATACTCATTATTTATTATTCATGAGGGTGGATAGTTTGGTTACCTTCTTGTTCAAATTGTTTCTTAAGCTCTTCAGCTGGTAATAGTGTTTGTGAAGAATCCAGCATCTGCAGAAGGATTAACAGAAACGTTTAACATTAACACGGGGAGAAAATTCACTGAAACTCATGAGAACAAGAAGAAAGAAACTTATTTTCTAAAACTTCTATAACTAAAAATAAATCTCTTTAAAGTGTCCAACTTTAGCATGAAGATATTACCTGGGGAAAGGGAACAGACTTGCTGCCAGGGATATGACCGCTCCTTAATCCCTTACGAGGTTCCGGAGCAGTACCATCAAACCTGCAGAAGTAGCAGATTTTTTAATCAAACACTATAATGGGTGCTGTTTTTGCAGTGTTTTAGCAGAAGAAAGAATTACATCATTTAGGGTTCTTTTACATCACCATCATCATGTTAGATCAAGCAATAACATACCTGCCTCTGGACCGGGCATCTATGTGTTGGTAAGTCTTCTCCTCCATATTTTTCCTGACCTGTAAATTCATTGACAAGAGAGGCATAGCCCAAAATAAGAATTGAAAGAGTTATTTAGCTTTCCTAACAACCTCCGAAATTACATTGTATCTACTACCTGCGGACATTAATACTGAGCCTATAACAGAAATGGCACCAAGAATTTCCAATTACTCCTTTTTTTTATAACCAATTATGAAAATGGGTACTATTAGGTAGGTGTTGAAACACATTTAAACTAAATTAAGAAGATATATTTGGAGACAAAAAATATAAACGTGGATTATCTTTAGATTTTCTTTATAGGAGAATAGTACTTTAAAATTGCATGTTCGAAGATAATCTGACTAAAAAATCAGCAAGGATTTGCTTCTGTCGATCAATAAAAAGGAGCTTAGAACAAACTGAGTCATGAAGCATCGGCATGAAATATCTATCTTAAGGATCATCACGATGAAGATCAAATTGTTTCGGGGAAAACTAACCTGATCAAGTGTCCACACCAGATGAGACTGGAAATTTGTCTTGAAGGTAATTGGATGGACCTGTGTGACCAACGAAGAAAATAATTCAGATGGAATTATTAGAGAGAGATTCAAGATACAACTTTTTCTTTTTCCTTTCAAGATAAACTTTCTTCATAGATATGCAAAAACATCTAACAAGCAGCTGTTTCAACATTATGTATAACTTACAGTTTGCCCTTGGTAAATTTTTTCAATAGCCTCACTTGCTGCACTGGCCTTCAGAATGGCATCACCAGAAGCACTGGATTCAACATCGTAACCTGAAGCACGCCATCTTGGTAGGCCACCATCAAGTACCCATACTTTGTCATGCCCAAACACTCGGAACTGCCTATACACAACCATATCAAGGAGCAGCCATTACTTTTAATAATGTCTGAACAAGACAGGACATCTGATACGAAAGAAAAAGAAGATCAATGGAATCAGCGCTGTAACTCACCACCATACACGAGCAGCACTAAAGATCCCCTTCCCATCGTAAACAACAACTCCATCGTTGTTATCGATTCCAAGAGCAGAACAAGCAGCGGCAAAAGCTTCTTCAGATGGCAACATGTGGGGCAACTGTTGCAAATAATCGAAATATCATACATATGTTTTAGATGGTTGCCTTTATAATGGACAGAGAAGCTCGCAAAGGAAGCAAAAAACTTTACAATCATGAGGCATTCAAAATAAAGAGCTGGGATTTTTCATTTGATATAAAAAAAGAAAATAACATACTCCCTACATGTTGTAAGTTGTTTATATTATTTTGTAAATGGAAGCAGACAAGGATACTATACTAGATAGGGATAAATCATATTTCACTTCTAGAGTGGCTATGCCAATGTGAGATCAAGAGCTGAGACATAAAACACATGATTATATATTCTCTGCAAAAAAAGAATATGATTCTCACGTTTGTTGTTCGGTCTGATATTCCATCCAAATCAAAGAAGAGAGCACCAGGAATATGAGCAACCTGATGAATAAGGAAAAGTACATGACATCAATATGAAATGTTCAAGCTTAAGATATAAGGTAAATGCATGGATTTGGATTCCGAAAGGAAATTCCTAATCCAAAGACATAAGCTTATTGAAGTAATTACAAGAAAAAACAAATCGACGTGCAGAACTCTACACAACAATCATTCACATTCTCACCTGATACTCTTGGATAGGATTCCTTTGCTCCTCTGGCATGTACCACGAAGCATCCAATACCTGAGCAGGAAAGAATCAAGATAGATAAGAACCATGGAAAACAAACTCTCGAGAAGTGCACTGGTTCAATAGGCCCTACATATATGCTCCGACATAATGAACATCAAAATGGAGAAGCCATAATACTACACATCAGTCACCTTCAAATCAGGTTCTCTAAGATTAGAATGGAGCCAATCAACAGAAACAACAGGTTCATTGGAAGTTATGGATGACGTCGAGTAACCAGCTTTTTGCCCAACTCCTGCAGAAGCCATAACTCGACCAGCCCAAGCAAATGATTTATAGGTCGTAAAGGTGGAGCCTCGTTGTGAATAGAATGCTCTTGACTGCAATTGTTATCCAAACAACATGAAAAGTAGGAACTTTGTTTTACAAATGAGAGTCAAGAAGCTCAAACAATTAAAGTTATCTAAAAAGATGATGAAATTTGAGTCATTCTATGCAGCTATCTATCTGCAAAGAAATGCAAATAGAGAATTTATTGAACATATCTCAACCGAGAAACGGATATCGCATGATAAGAAGAGCAAATAATCTATAAGCACTATCTAAATTCTAAACTAACAGACAGCAAAAACAATCTCACTTCCAGGTATACAAACTATATGAAACCTCACGTTTGCACTGCAAATGACACCCCACATAAGTACTCAGAAACAACCAAGGAATTGAACCGATGACAGATGCGTTCTTCACGATGACAGTCACCACTCACCATAAATCACAGCGACCGGGTTTCAAATCCCAAATTTTCGATCGCAATTCAAAAGATTTAGCTCAAACTTTGCAAGATGCGATGAAAAGAATCAGACAAGTTTTAAGGGGAAAAAAACAACTGACATCAACAATCATCATATATCAACGCAGGCAACAACAGTTCTGAAACCATGGTTCCCAAGCTAAAACCTTTTGAAGCACAAGAACCCACTCGTACCAAAATCGAAACCCAAATCGAGTATAGGAATTCCCAAATCGATGAACGAAGCGAACCCAGAAGCAATACAACGATCAAACGGGAATACAATCCAGAAATGATCGAAATGGAATCGATTGCAGGCTTACATTCAAAATGAACGCGAGATTAGAGGTGGTCTTCTGCGGAAGAAGGAAAGACAGGGAGGGAGAGACCAAGCGGTGACCAGCAGCCGAGAACGTTCTGGAGAAAAGGGCTGATGCCATACCACCACGACACCATCAGAAAACGATAGTTCTTTGGGTTTAAAAGACAGCCAATTTTTTGCTGTCAGATTCTCCGCTGGTAAACCCAAAAAAACCCAACTTTCGCGTTTGGTTACACAAAACGCGGTTTTATCAGCTGCGTTTGCGTTTTCAGTTTTTCCAAAATAAGAAAAGATCTAAACTTTCTCCATTTCTCGAACTCGTCACTGCGGAATTAGTCTGAGAACGCAACACTTGTCTCAAAGTTTTGATAAAACGATGCTTTGAAAATTGAGATATGTATGTGTGTGATTGCTAATATAGAGAGTCTGTGGCCAAAAAGTGTAAATAGGTAAATGTTTCGGGAGCTTTTGTGATTTTCAAAAAGTATCACAGTCTGATCTTGCCAAACGTCGTCGTTTTAATCCCGTTTCCGTTCTTTTGTTCGAAAAAAGGTTCTCTCACACTTCGACCCATTCTGCAAGAAACCTAGAGCTTTTTCTGAACTTCGTCCATCTCTCTCGCTCTCTCTCTGCGTTCATCTTTTTCGATCTCGATATCGAAGGTGAGATATTATAACTAGATCATGAGATGATATGGAACTCTCTTTCGTTTGCTCAATCTAAGTTAAGGGAGGATTTTTATTGTTAAAAGTTGTCGATTCGCGTCCCCGGTGTTGGATCGTTGTGTTCAAGCAGCATCGTTGGTCGATTCACTTTTGTTTCTTGTTCTCTCTGCGTTTTTCATCTGCTTCGCACACTGTACGTACTATGTTCTGTCTGGGGTTTTACAGATTCATTTGTTTCAATGTACTTGCTTTTTTGTAATTCCGTATTAAAGGTTAATCTATCAATTGGGCTTTGTTTGAAAACAGAGAATTGGGAGCGAGCATTTGTTACTTTAGCAGATTCATCACTTCCATGGTTCTGTGTTTTCTGAATTTAGTTTAAGAAACTATTCTCAATGAGTTATGAGCGAATTATAATGTCTCAAATGATATTGTTTCACATGTTTACGGTTTTTTTTTTTCAGATTTGTTTACGGTGCTATGGGGGACAGTCAGTACTCGTTTTCACTCACCACTTTTAGGTATGGACTTGTTTATCATTGAAAGGCAATACCTTTTGTGCATTTCGGTTTCTAATTGGTGTTTTGGCCATGGAACAGTCCATCAGGGAAGCTGGTTCAGATAGAACATGCTCTAACAGCTGTGGGATCTGGCCAAACATCCCTCGGAATCAAAGGTTTGGAAATGACTGGATGGATTTGAGGAAATCAAAAGAAAAGTTTCTCCTTGTTTTTTTCTGGATCTTTCAGTCATTTGTTTCTTCCACTGCTCTGAATTATTAGTACTGTATCTTGCTGCAGCCGCTAATGGAGTTGTCATTGCCACAGAGAAGAAACTGCCTTCTATTTTGGTTGACGAAGCATCTGTAAGTGGATAACCCTGCCTCTTCTCTCTTGTGTTTGCTGATACTGTTGCTACAGCAGCTGGCTGTATTCTTGTTTTACAGATACTTATGTGTATGGTGTAGAATTTTACTGCTTCTGGAAGAAGACAGATATCTTAATTGTTTTTCTTCCAATAAAAACAAACATTTTTCGTATGACTGATTATTCTTTCTTGTGGTCACATTGTTCAGAAAATTTGCATTGAATCAGTTATCCCTTTTGTCTGTTTCAGGTTCAAAAGATTCAGCATTTGACCCCAAACATAGGAGTTGTCTACAGGTTTTTATTCCTTTCACTACCTGCGAATGCATTTTGACAGTGTATTAAAGCTTGGTTGGTGTCATAAGAATTTAAGAAATGGTCTTCTATCATACGTCCTCTAGAATTTGTGTGCACTTATTTCACCTCATAGGGAGATGATGTTGTCACTGTTGTGAATGATAACCTATTTTTAGCTCCAGTTCTCTTCATTAAATACTAACTTTTCTTGTTTCCTTTCAATGAAGTGGCATGGGTCCTGATTTTCGAGTTCTGGTTCGGAAGAGTAGGAAGCAGGCTGAGCAGTATCTCCGTTTGTACAAAGTAATCTCTCTATACCCTTCCTAAGTATCCTTATATTTCAATCTGTAGGATGTCCTTGGTTACGATTATGTAAGTGACTTCAAAACCTCACTGATTTGCAGAAAACTGAGTGATAATTCCATTTGGTTTGTCTTGTTTGCTTGCTCATAACTTTTAGTTACCAAGTTAGTTTAACTGATTTGGCATGTAATGAGATTTGATCATTCGCAGGAACCCATCCCTGTTACCCAACTTGTAAGGGAAACTGCTACTGTAATGCAGGAGTTTACTCAATCAGGGTAAGTAAAATGTCTGTGTAAACTTGAAGTTTCACTCGTTTTATTCATACTCTCCCTCCCTTCTCCACCTTCTACAGGTTAAAATTGTTTTAACCGCCTAAAGAATGGACTTTAGATTGTACCTGTATTGCTTATTATTAAATGGTTTTATACTGTATTGGCCTAAAGATACAGGAGTTTAGAACATCGATAGAAAACTAGAATTTCTGATTCTGGTTTCTCTTTCTTTCTTGTGATTAGTGGTGTTAGACCTTTCGGGGTTTCTCTTCTGGTGGCCGGCTACGACGACAAGGGTCCACAACTATATCAGGTACTTTTTCCCACATCATCAGTACCTCTATTTTGTCATGCATGCGACAAGACTTGCTGGTAAAGTGGCTTAGACTGGTGTTTTCCATCGTTTCCTTAGTGTTTTGTGCTCTTTTTCCATATCAATGAGAAAGAAAACCCATTAAGGAAAGAATATTAGAAGAGCAAAAACCACTTCCTGAATAACTTATCTTCTGATTTCTGAACCATACTGTAATGCTACTTTTACATGTTTTTAATTGAGTTTAGAAATAGGAACCCGGACAGTAGAATTTTATCCCGGAGTTTTTCCATTTCCGCGTTTTAAGTCACCTGGCATTTTGGTGTTTTGATAGGTGGATCCGTCTGGCTCTTATTTCTCTTGGAAAGCTTCAGCAATGGGTAAAAACGTTTCCAATGCAAAGACATTTCTTGAGAAAAGGTAATATTCATTTTAGCTTTTCTTCTTCGGCATGATGCTTGTATCGTTCAATTGTACCGTTCAACCCAAAGCATGTGCATGTCAATGTCACCATAATCTGATAATAATCAAGTAAATGCATGGAACTTGGTTGGAAACCCTACGTATCTGTTACAATTGATTTCGATATGTATGGCAATGTGGCATTTTCAAACATATAGCATGCCTATCAGATGTTTCATGAATTTATCATTTCATAATTCTTCTGAGAGAAATTTTACATGGTCGAATCTTCAATCTTGAAACAATTATCCGATCCGAGCAAAGTCCATCATGTAGTTTGGCTCGAGTGTGCTTCTCTGCTGGAAAACATGTTGAATATTATGTAATAAGAGTGCAGGTGCAGTGGAATGGAATGTCTTGTAATAATGAAAATATTGGATTGGATGTTTTCCAAAGAAACTGTTCATGTTATGTTGAGTATTCCTTGCACAGGTACACAGAAGACATGGAACTTGATGATGCCATTCACACTGCAATATTGACGTTGAAGGAAGGGTGAGAGAATTTCCATTGATTTTTCTGTCTGTCTTCAAAGATTCCAAATTTCATTTACTTTTTGGATTATTTAACGGCTTTCGGTCGGGGTTTTTTTTGTTTGGACCGTCATGTAGCTTCGAGGGAGAGATCTCAAGCAAGAACATCGAGATTGGAAAAATCGGAGCAGACAAAGTTTTCAGGTAACATTTCCTGCTACTTCCCTTTTTGTCAATTCTCTTACATTATCATATGACTAACCAACTTACAAAACCAAAGGATTCATTTTTCTTGATTTTGGAATTGGCAAAAACTCATTGATTCTTGGAAACTATGCAGGGTATTGACACCAGCAGAAATCGATGATTACTTAGCTGAAGTCGAGTGAAAACTTTCACATAAGTCTTATAAGATATGTTCCGGTTTACATGTACCGGTTAAAACCGGTTTGGATATTGAAGCGTCTGAACCTCTGTTGTGTACTTTGGTAACTACTGGATTTGAATCTGAATACCATCTCTCTTTTCTCTGTCATTTAGACAACTGAGGGTTGCCCCATAATTTTTCAAGTTGTAGGTTTTTACTTTTTATCCCTGTTTTATACCACAGACCATTAATTCATCTAATTTCCAAAAACCATGTACGATGTAAAAAAAATTAAACCAATGTACTTTAGAGATATATAATAAAATAGAATGTAATTATTTACAATTACAAGCACATTTGGTTCATAAAGACAAGCGCGTGCATTTTCTTGAAGACAATCTCTACGGAGCTAAACTCCAAGTCGAAACCATGGCTCCGACCGCCGTACTCAACGTACAGGAACCTCGCCGGAAAATCTGCCGGCGGTGGCAGCAAAACCCTAGAGATCTCAGGGAACTCTGGAGACGGCGGGGGAGGCAACGAATCTTTCTTCTTCAGAGAAAAATAAACATCTGACAAGAGAATCCATATGAGGTCAGGATCAATGCTCGCAATACCTCTCAACGCGTTCACCGCTGAATCGTGGAGACCCGAAACGCCGCTGCAGGCGATTCCAACGACCAGGCCGGCTACTTTCTTCAGGGCAGCGTCTAACGCCGAAGCGCTGTGTTTGTCGCTGGAGAGATCGGCGATCATGTTGAGAACTGCGTTTTGGACTTTCAAGCTCGAAGCTTCAGCCATGGAGGCAGACGTCTCAGGTGATGCTAGCGCAGTTCGGTAGGGGAGTCGAAGGAGAGGTTTGTCTTCTCTCGGGTTTCGGATCTTGTTGAACGGAGACGTGGATAGAAGCCTCCAGAAGTGAGGGCCGTCGTTGCGGAAACGGCGTGCGAAGAAATCTCCCCCCGATATCCGAACCGCATGGGTTATAACGCTTAAGCATCTCCTCACGGCCTGTACGGATCATTTAAAGATCAAATCTTCATTTCAAAACATGAACATGGATTCCAGTTCTTGAGAAAAGGATGCAGAATGGAAGATTCAATTCGCTTACCACTGGATTTCCGTTACGGACACAGACAATGAAGAAAGGCCAGATCTTGTTCATGGCGGGAAGCAGCCTGTTCTCGTCGGAGCCACCATCAGTGGCGTCCATGACATCTTTCAGTTGATAGAGCGAAGCAGACTCGATGAGTTCTTCGATCGTTTCTTTGGTTTCGGTCTCTTCCCGGTAAGCTTCCTCGACTTTGGCCAGAGAAGGAACTCCTTCCTAAACAGAGTTTTTAAGGTTACTTCGCCGAGAAGTGATTTCGCCGAGATTGTGTTTTAAAGAGAAAATACCTCGATAATGTCAAGAGCAGCCAAGCATGTTGCTTGATCCGACGATGCTAGAAGAGGTGTACAAGCTATTAGACACGAAGAAGTAACAGACCCGACTATTCTTCTGTATCGTTTGGAACGGTTCAGCTCGAGCAGATTGGTCTCCCATTCCTCTGCAATCCATTTTGGAAATCCTCGGGTATTTCAGCAAAAAGATCGAGAATTTTTCAACAACGAAAAGCACCCGAAGGAAAGGAAGAAGAATGGAATATCGCCCCACCTGGAACGAGGCGAGAAATGTCGACCTCGTCGTCGGAATCTGAACCTCTTCTGTCTTGTCTTGATTTCATAAGATCAGATGCTTTGGTCTTGACATGCTCGTTATATGACTTAGCTTTGTCAGGTAACAAAAAAGCTTCACGCTTTGATGCTTTTGCAATCTCACCAACTGCCTAACTAAATGCAAAAACAGAATGATCAAAGATTTTACTGTTTCCTGTTTGAGGAAACTCGGATTTCGGGAAGATGCGGAAAACAGAAAAGAACGAAAATGAACCTTCAAGAAGGGCAAAGTCAGATTCGAATGCTGTTTTCTACCGACGATTTCCAGTTCTTGGGAGACCAAACGCATCTGCATACGAAAGAAACCCGAAAATCATGACCTTTCTGACATAAACACGAAGAATCCCGAAAAATGAATTTCTGCTGCATCATTGTCATTACTTACGGGTTCCTCCAGCAAAGGCAGTATTTCACAAGCAACTCCGACGTAAGAAAGCATGGCCGCAAGAACATTAGGAACATTAGGGTTAAGATCCAGATGACGCAACTGCCGACAGATTGAATCGATAACGTAATCCGCGTTCGCAAGGACCAGATGCCCGACCTGCAAAAACAAAATCAAGAGGCTAACGAAACGAGACGTAAAATGGTAGTGAATAGATTCCCGAGCCGAGTGTATTATCATATGACTCACCGAGGGATGGCCCAAAGTGGCGGCAAGTTGATGCAAGACAGAATCAGAAGCATTCTTTACTTGGAAGTCCGAGCAAATAAGACTCTCGAGGAGAAGGTAAAGCGATAAGTGGAGAAATCCGCTTGAAGCAAAGTCTTGCCCGAGACAGAGTGAAAAGATGCCTACTCCTTCTACGATAACCTGATGTAACATCGCTGTGTCCTTATAAAAATGCAGATTTATACCGTGAAATTCGGTGTCATTGCTCCTACCGAGTGAATTCTGATCCACCGGGATATCCCAAACTTCAGAAGATTGGTATTCATGCAAGATTTTACCGACACATTCGATCAAACGACTTTTTACACGTTTGTTCCACGAGATTTTCCAGCGTAATCCGTCCTCGGACTTGCTACCCTCCTCCTGAATGTGTCTTCTCCTCTTCGTCGGCTTCTGAAGCATTCTCGAGAGAGTGTCATCACTAGCTCGACCTGATAGACCGAAGATAATCTCGTTCAGGATACAAGAAGCGGTTGCAGCCCGACGAACCAACTGTCCTGACCCGGTTCGATTATACCACGACTGCCAATCTTCTCCGCTGTACTCTTTCCGACGAACTTCCGAGATCAACTTGTGGAAACATCCGAGCGGAATATCTAGGATAACCGCTAAATGCCCTTCGCTTCCAAAGCCTATAAAGCCACCGAAACAAAGATTTATCACATCGGTAAATCAGTTCATCGAGAAACGATGCAGAATAATACATCCAAGGAAAAACAAAATGACCTGCCATTAATGATAACCCTACGAGTCTAAGGACTCCAGAGAGCATCTCGTAGAGTTTCTGACTACCCATGTAAGAAAACCATGGAGGCATCCGAGGAAGCTCGTAACGACTCCGTGTTATCTCCGTCTTTCCTCTCTCGGATTCGGAAGTCTTATGAATGGTACGGCTGTGAATGGATTCTTGAAAACCAGCTTCTAACTCTGTGATTGAAGGGAGGTAACCCGTTGATGATGACGACGATGGCCTCGCAACAATAAGCTTCTCGAGAGAACCAGCGAATGCC